AAGGGGCTTAACATTTCCGTCACACGCTTGAGGTATTCGGCCAATCACAATGCACTGGATAGCTGGCCAATCAGAGCACACCTCGCTTTTCAGAACGATGAGCTTTGTAAAAATCGACGTGTTTTAGAAAGGTGGGGCATAGAGGAGAAACAATAATGCACAGTATGAGGAAAATAATATGTTTTTTTAACCTTAAACCGCATAAACACACCAAATACACAAAATAATGTTCTTTTTAGCAACATCATATGACCTCTTTAAGACACACTGTTCTAGTACACGAGGGAAAACAGTCTGCTTATGGTCAGCCAGGCATTTAAAATCAAGCTAGCACCTCGGCCTGGTCCAGTCTCAGCCCCTGTGCAGTGTTACTGTGCTCCGTGCTCCTGTCTTCAGCCTGATTGCACACAGTCAGCTAAAGATAACCATGTGACATTTGACTTGACTTTCCATAGGAATTAATTCTAAACAGATGTGGGCGCGTGAGCAAGTGTGTTTTCATTTTCCTCCATTTCAATGGTTGCTTTAAGATTAAGGTGTTTGTCATGTTTCCTCCTGTCATGACTGTACGTGTGCTGCGCCGCCTTGAAAAAATATGCTTTGTGTTATTTCAAAAATTTCCTAGTGATTTTTAAATTAGATTAATCGCTATGTTTTACAACTTTTTTGATGACTGTACGTTATTATGTTTGTCAACCTCCCAGTTGTAATGAACCAAAGAGTCGTGGGTTTTACTCAAATAGGCCGGTCTTGCTATGTTCTCTGTACATCGCCTTTGTTTTGTGAGTTTTTTTACGTCTGTTGACCCTGTATTAAATGAACGACTGTGATATGTGCATCCAGTCCATGCATTTGTATTGTCAGCAAAGCCAACGTCCGTATCAATGCGTCAGAGTATGAAAATGGCATTCAAAGCTGTTCATTTGAATAGAATAGGGTCTGGGGAGTTTGTCTGGTGCATTTCATCAGCAGAGATTGTTTTTAAGGATATAATTAAACAATAAATATTAAACTATTATTATTTACAGTAGTTATAATTAGTACACTTAATTTGATTTTTTTTAATTAGTAGTAATAATAGAGATGATTAGTATTTATCAGATCAGTATTATTAGTATTTATAGTATAGTATATAGTAGGACTATGGAAATATAATTAAAATTTTCAACAGAATTAAAGTAGGCAACAAATTATATTCAACAGTTTTTGTTTTTTTACACGTCTCTTTTAATAAGATACATTCAATTTCATTGTGCAATGTCTGGAGGTGTGCAGCTTCACTGATCATTAATGTTGCATGAATAAATGCTCCTGTTAGAATGTGCGTCAATGTCCCACATAATGCCTCTTCTCCCTGGTGCCATGTCAATTGCACTTCATTCAACGTACCTTACAATCTAATAAATAAATGTAATAACTTTTCCCAAGAGCTCTGACATAGAGTTTTAGTGAAGTGAAACTGGTATCAAAAAAGACGAGAATGTGATTTTTATCAAAAACATTTAAAAAAAAGAGAAACAAAGCAGAACATCTAAACATTAGCCATTTTCAACACTCTGAAAAAAACATTTAAATGCAAACTGGTAATTTGTTTTACATGAGATTTGCTTATTCAATCGTTTTCTTGGAAACATACAAGAACAACATATTCACAGAGAAGCACCAAAATTTAACTCAGGCTAGTGACGACGCAATTTCATGAGGAATGCCCACCACTATCAGACCAAGTGCACTGCACACCATTGCTGATGTTCTTTACTGCTAAATCCTCTGCTCAAATCAGATCGGACAGGACGGCCTTTGCATATCCTCACTCTTGCTCTTTTGTCCTGTGCAAGTGAGAGATGCTGATATGGAGCAAGAGAATGTGGGCATACAGGAACGGCAGATGGCTCATCCGACAAGTCTTTTATAAATATTGTAAAGCGATAAGATTGGTCCATCTAGAGAGAGCCCGGATGAAAAAGTCCAAGTTGTTGTGTTTTACCCCATCTCTCTCGTTCTCTGTTGTTGTCTTTCCGTTCTGCTCTTTGACCCCCCTGTGCTCCTAGTACAGTCACAGAGCCGAGGCGGCAACCGAATGGACGGAGTCTCGCGTGGCAGCCGAGCTCTTGAAGGCCAGCGGGGTGGTGATGTCACAGCTGTGGGGAGAGAGAGCACTGCCACTGGGCGGCTGCCATGTGGGGCCGGTCACATAGGCCGACGTGGTGCCGCTGTACCCCATGTAGGGTGACACTTGGGTGGGAGGGTGGTAAGGATGGATGCTGGGAGCTGTGACAGAACTGTTCACTGTGGGCAATCCATTCGGCGTCTGAAAACAGAGAGCAGGGAGCGTAAGACTTCTGGCCGTAGACCACACATGGCCATTGAGATGAACATAAAGATATCACGATAGTGAGGATAAGATAGAGACAGGTGAATGTTAAAAACAGAAATGGGAATTTTCTTGGAGAGTCTGTGAATGGAGATAAGGGACAAGATATTAAAAGATTTGACGGAAATGGAAAAGCTATATGGAGGGAAATGCAAGAGCAGGAATGTCTGAAACCCTTTGGCAGAATGGCAATATCAGTTCAGGATGAGAGGAATTTACCAAGGCTTTTCAACATAAAGGAAGAAATTCTAAGGCAGGGTGGTCTCTGACTACTGGAAATGTTTTCCACAGATGAAATCCCCTTTGTTGCAGAGTTAGGATTTTCCTATGATTTACCCATTATGACACTCTTGACCCCTATAGTGCACCCATGTACATACATGTATATGGTATTCGTTACATTTTTAATTCATTACTTAAACAGCATAGAAAACAACCCATTTGCATTTTGCAACGATCTATCTTTCATTGTATGATTCAAGTCATGCACGAACTAATAAAACAAAAACGAAAATGAAGTTAAAGCTATAGCAGACATTTAAGGTCAAGCTTTACATTAAAAAGATCAACTTTAAAAATGTTACACTTCTAATGAAGAATTCACATGGATATAATTTTTTTTTCGGACACTCCATACAGCCTACCGGCGTAAAGTATGTGACACACAGGCATATAGATGAACATTTGTTTTGAACATTGTTTTGTTAGCTTCTTTCAGTATGATTTTTACTAATGATCTGATGTACTCTTTACACATCGTTAATAAAGAGTTATGATTTACCGAGCTCAAAAACCAATCGTCGGAATTCATCAGCACTAACCCACTGCGCGAATAGAAAAAAAAATATATAGGCCCTATTGATTCCAAAATGTTAGATAAAAACGTATTTGTGCTTATACGTTATATTTTGCACCAGAATTTGTGCTTTGTTGTTTATTACAATGGATGTAGAATAGGCCTAATGTATATGCATGGTAATATATTTCCAAATAAATATTTGTGCAGTCTCACTTAGGAGTTGACTAAAATAAGAAGTGACAACTTATTTTTAAATTATTTATTTCAATCGTTAGCTGTACTTTAGGTATGAACAGATCATAATTTTTCAATTATCGTTTTTCGACATCGTAGATAATAGACAATAACATTAAATGAAGTAAACTTAATGTTAGTCATCTTTTATCCTCTAAATGATATTTCTATCTAGGCTATTGTGTTTGTTAATGAACCATGTCATCACGCTGTGTCTAGAGGATTCAAATAACAGACATACACTTATATCGCGTTATGCTTTAAGGTTAAGATAGTTAAATATAATATTTGCATTTGGGATTAAACAAAGGTTTTCGAAATACGACTAATAATGCTCAGTAAATTGAATATTTTATTAGCAGCCTACACCTTAATTCACTGCACAATAAATTTAAATGAAATGTATGGATTCAGTTCAGTTATGAGAGACGCATAACATAATCTATTTTCATTAAAATCGTGTGAATGACGATTCATTTTCAATGAATCTTCATGGTTTTTATTATCTCCTTATTTCCTTTTTTCAAGCTTATAGGGCTTTCTGATAGATACAAATAACTTATTTAAGCCACAGTGATTTGTCTATTTTCTGTCCTCATTTATTGCGTAATCCAGCCTGACTCGTGATATCTGATCATTTATCCAAGATGACAGACTCAAACATTCGGTAGTTAGTGCTATTCATCATCTATCCGAAGGTGACAATCTTCATTTCTTAAGCAAACTACACTCTATTTTTTGGGTTTCAATCAGTACGCGCGTACTTTACGCCAAAACAATGTTTCAGCATCAGTAACAAAGATTTATTCCATCGTATTCCACGACACATAAATCTCTAAGACCCACAACAAACGATTAGTCAATCTGTTTGTTTCTGCCCAGCAGTGCGCGGATAAATAATTCGAGCGTCTGCACCGGATGGCACGCGCTTTATCCGCTCACACTCTCCCCTCTCATTCCCCTCATTCAAGCGCATGAGCATCCAGACATTGGTGCAGGAGTTTCTTGACAAATATAAAAACAATTGTCTTTTACATGTCGGTACGGCGCTTAAGTGTGTAACAACAGTGTGCAGAACAACCAGCCACGAGCCAAAGGGGTTTCCATAATAGCATATTAATAATAACAATACTGAAAATGATGATGGTAATATCTATCCGAGTATTGCTCTAATGTAAAACAGGTAAGGGGTTTAGCAATCCAAAAGTTTCTGGTGAATATAAGATTGGGCGAATAGAAATAATTTGTAATACACGTGTTTATTAAAGTATAATATTATGCATATTTATTGACTAAGGAGCGGTGGCTTCAAGTGTAAATGCGCATTAAAAACAAAGATAACCACTTTTAATAATTATTTATTGATTTTTATATTTTACATATATGTAAAGCAAATGTTTAAAGACTTAATGAAAGATAATAAGTAACTGATAAGACTTCGATAAGCGTACACAAAATATTTACAGTCTGAAACTGAACTATATAATAATTAATCATAAAAATATTTAACCTTATTGTTGTTCTATTTTATCTTCGGCTCATTTGGGATATGCGCATGTTACATAGAAATCATACATAATTTATCTGGACAAAATCATTTTCTTCTGAAAAAATAAAAAATCGTTAAATCATAGAAAAACATATTTTGACTATGAAGTAAAATACACGTTTATGACAAGTAAAAAGCATAATTAAAGTAATTCAAGTTTCTTAATCAGGAAAGAATATTGGTTAAATGTTTAAAAACTATGCAAAATATTAGATCAAAACATTTATTACAAATTTATTTGTCATAGTATTTCACTCAGTATCACGCTCTTTAAAAAAAGTATCGACTAATATGAATACATTTTGATTCGAGGGTATTGCACGCATAAACACTGTACAAAAAGCTTCGTAGTCATTCACATTAACAGCTGTGCGAAAACAGACACCATTAGGCTAAATATTGTTGTTCATTTTATTACAATTAAAACGTGGGATACTGTATGTAATTTGTAAATACTTCTTATTAAGAAAATGAAACCCAGGGACCCACACTCTGCACAAGGCATCATATGCCCGCCCACGCCAAAGAAACACACTCGCATACATACTCTATTACACACACACACATACACACACGGAATTGAGAGAAAAGGGTTATGGAATTTTTACTATTAATTTGCTGAATCAGGTTTTCTTTTTCTTTTCTTTTTTTCCCCCTGCTCCTTCCAGATTGGATTTGATTGGTTTTACTATTTACATGGGAGGCTTCTTTACCTGTGTGTATTTTGCTTCAGGTTCTAAGTGAGGCTTATCCACACCATTGACTAGTGGAGAATTCGCTGGTGAAAAATTACTCCTGTTAATAGCTCTCCATTCTTCTAGTTTGGCGCTAGGAAAGGACGGACTGTCACAAACTGGGAGGCAAAACAGAGACATGGAAGACTGGAGTCAGACAGGACAAGCGTGGGGAGTAGAACTGCCACAAGAAGAGCTTATTCAGTAGCTACAGTCTGCTGCACTGCCAACCATCTCAAACTCACCATACTCACTAAACACACAAAAAATGGTGTCTCACGTATATATGTCGTGTGTATATATATATAGGCTATAAACAGCGTGTGCAGCCTTTACCGCAAAAAAGGCTCAAACGCGTATTTTATAAGCAAGTTATGATCATAATGACGTAGGCTATAGCATGTTTTTAAATTAAATAAAATGTATGATGTCCTTACACGTCGCATATATGCGATATTTCTGTTCAAACGAAGATGCAGAAGAGATATCAAAATTTGAATTTATGTGGTTAATTCATCAGATGAAGCACACTGTCATGGAGTCCCTCGGAACATTTACCCAGAGTCTTCCTGGGAGGACAAATTAGATTTACTTTAACCGTTTCCCCTTTGTGCATGATGGATATTATATTATACACGGTTCCTAAAGTTTGAAATTTGAAAAGCAAGCCCACCAGTGTTGTAACCTGAGAGGGCCACAAAGTAGATTTTTCCCCCTGCCTTCACGGAATCTGTGTGTCTTTGTATCGTTTCACAACGTATAAACAGGAATTCACCACAACGTTGCCATATTTTGTTGGAGCTTAGTGCAAATCGGTTGTATAGGAGATCAATTTAGTTGGTCTTTTATTTTAAAAAGGTCGATTAGGGTAAACAAGTCTACAGTTACAACGACCAAATTGAATTAAAATGCATGCTTAGCATGAAGACAGATGCAGATGATGTCTGAGCATGAACAACTATCAAGTGTCTATGTGTGCATGAGAGAGAGAGAGAGAGAGAGAGAGAGAACTCTAAATGATAACAAACTGTCCAAAAGTTCGCGGTACACATTCTTCCTGTCAAACCGTCCTCGAAAGTATGTGTTTGTGGATGTTTTTTGGTGTTTGCTTCATTAACGTTAAGGTGAAACGGTTGCACGCTACACCTTATCGAGTGTAGCCAACATCATACTTTTAAGTTTTCAAAAGCTTCCCTAAACATCTGCTAATAATTTGGAAATGCATTAAAACAGGCAAAGAACTACAATTAAATAGGGTTTTGTGAGGAGTTAAAATTATATATATATATATATATATTTTTTTTTTTTGCTCTGCTGCGCCGAAGTCTTCGTTGTCCAAAATATTCCACATCCGCGGCCTAATTATTACAAAAAGCCTTAAACCATCTGTTTCAATGCAAACGTGGGGCTTCTGCACGAATTCCAGCACGCTGTGTGTATCATCTCACCTCGCTGTAATTTTTTTTTTTTTTTTGCCTTTTTTATTTTCTCTTGAGGCCCTTCCGATACATGATAAATAAAATATTTATGTCAAATAAAAAATGATAGACTTTGAATATCTTAATGTTCTTACGTTTTGGCCCTTCCATCACTACCAGAACTTCTCTTTTAATTTTTTTCTCTGTTGCACACACAGTCACACACACACACAAAACACACTTTTGACAGGCCTGAGAACAGTGTCTTTTCGCATGCCCCCACACGCACTCACACGGACAAGGACTTTCTTTTACCAAAAACTGAGAGGATGCTTACTTTGCTGCTCCGTTATTGATCGAATGCCCAGAATATCTGTAACAGAATGAGAGGAAGGCCATATCCTATGCATTGCCATGTGTCCAGGAAGAGTGGGCATGCCAGGCGGAGTTGGTACTTTAGTCCCAGTGGCTGCGATCGGAGTTGGATACGAGTACAGGTGGTTGTAAGATAGGGTGGGTTGAGGCTGAGGATGAGGGCCCTGTTTGCTCGACTCGTACTGGTTCTGTTGAGACAGATTTCCGATCTTGTTGCGGAGAATCCTACTGATCGAGCTTACAGAGGGCAGATTGAATTTATCACACACACCGTCCGCAAGCAGTCTGTCTCGAATCTCCCAAGCGAAAATGCCGGGGTCCCGTTGCTTGTAAGTCCTAATGTGCTTGACCACGGCTGGGGTCGTGACCCTGGGTTTACTGCCGCCAATTGCGCCTGGAAGTATTGAGCCGGTTTCGTTGTACCGAGCCAGAATCTTGCTCACACAGCCGTGAGAGACGCGGAGCTGCCTGCTGATGTCGCAAGGCCTGATGCCAAACTGGGCCAGCTCTACTATCCTGAGCCGGATGGCATTGGGTAGGGGTCTTCCGTTCACAAAAACACCGCCTAGCTGGTTCACCTCCCCAAAGGCTGGCTCTAGTGATGCAGATATATGAAGAAAAAAGGATTGCATAAAACATCAGATTTTTTTACCAGCCCCTGTACCGCGTCTGAAACAAAAAAACTTGTGCATAAATGTTTCAGTATAAGATTACTCTTTATCTGCTGTTTATAATTGCATTGAATCAAAGATTGCAGTTGATGTTCAGTTTTATGTTTTAGTTTATTGCATAAAAGTCACTCTACAAATTAGGCTATTTAAACAGAAAAAAACACAAGATTATTACGTTCTTTAACACGCAACGTTAGGTCATAATAAACGAAATTGCACATTGAGTAGCCTAGTTCTGGACGCGATTAAGCTCATTCGCGGCAAAGTACCATTCTGTTTCCCGAAATGACCGTCAAAGCATCAGTCGATTTAAACGTTTGAATCGAGACCTGCACCATACATTACTAAATTGTCTAACCCATTTCCCCCCCAAAAGTGTTTATGCATGCCCGTTCCCATGTGTGTTAAAACATGAAATTTGGATCTTACCCATTGCGTTTAGCCTCCCGATGAAAAAAGAAACTTCACTATGATGTCCCTTTCTGACCTGTTCCGAGTCCAGTTTAGCTGGTCTTTATTGCAATGAAGCCGATGTGAATGAAAAAGAAGCGTCCGAGACGGATGCGATACCGATTAGTTGCAAGAGAGGAAAATTCGCCTTCTGTTTCCTGATGGCAGGGAGCACAGGCTTACATTTCAATCGCAGAAAATGATGGGCCGGCCCTTTACACGCGTCTCCAAAGCGAGGTGCTGCCAGCCAATCAAACCGCGCGTTTCTTCCAAGTTCTTTTTCTATTGGCTGACCAGTTTGACATGGCAGGCGTTTGCACTGCCGTAAGATTCCCCTTTTGCTTTTGAACTAGTGGACAGGGTTACCCGAGTGTTGGTTTTCTTTTTAGACAGATCTAAGAATGGTAAGTGTTTGAAACATTGCACTGTAATTTTGTTTCATAAGCATAAATTCTAATTATTTCGTTGACTAAAACTGGGAGAAATTTGCGGGTCAGTAGCCTACTTTTTTTTTTTTTTAAGCAGGGGCCCTGTGATTTATCCTGATGTCATTTAAATTGCACTTAATACGCGTTAATTTATTAAGTGGTCCGTGTAATAATAACTAAAAACGACATCTTTACAAATGCATTTTAATTTTGTCGTATAGTTCCAGAACCAACGTTTAGGCGTGCTGTTTCCGGTCTGAAAAAGAAAAAAAAAGACGGGTTAAATAGATGACCATGGAACAGTCCCAAAAGTCCTTTCATGTTAACGTTTTTTATTTAGCTTTATTTTAAATTCAACTATAAAGTGTTGATGCTTTACATACAATAAAAAAACCGTTATTTTGTATGAACTCTTCATAAGACATTGACGTTTCTGTCACAATGTAGTCACTCGTGCGAAAATATTAAGAATTCGACAAGGCCATAAATGAGATTCTTTTAAACTTTTATTTTCAAATGATCATGATTCCAAGTGAAGTAAAGTAAAAGTGGCGACGACTTATTTGTTGAAAAGGGTAAACAAACTAGTCCGGTGTATGTTTGATGCTGAGGATACCAATAAATGTGAGCCATCATTAATAACATCAATAACAAACCGACCTAATGTTAAAGAGGTATATATTTAATCAATAAATTATTTTACCGTTTTAATTATCATGTTTTCTAATTAGTCGGTACACATAGGCTATATGAAACGTTTATCTTAAAAAAAAAACGTGTAGCCTATTATTAGGCTATATCATGTTTTTATGTTAATAGGTGTGGGCATGTATACATGTGTTATTAAATATATTTGTTAGCATATAATGCGTTTTATGTTGAGGCCTACAGGATTTGAAAACCCTTTAAAGGTGTCAGGTGTAATGGTATTGTTTAGCTGCGCTCGGGCCTTTTTGAACACTATGGCAGCCAAGGCAAAGATAGTGGCACGTTATTTGTATTGTTGTTTCCTGTTTACTCAAGAGACTTGAGCCCTGTCATGTTTTCCCATATCAGCGTTTGGTTTTCTCTTACCGTTCAGAGTAGGCTATTTCCATCTGAAATCTCACTGAGGGCTTTACCCTTAGTTCGAATCTCGAAGCTTAGGCTATAGAGTATTTTTGTATCCGTTTCAGAAACGTCACGTGGATAAAAAATTAATTGGTGTTCAATTATGCTTTATGTGCATTTTAGCATTGTCCAAAAAAGTAATTAATTTACGATGCTCCTATCGCATGTTTGACGTTCTCTGTCACATGTAAGCACCATAGCAGTATGTTTTCATCTGGGCTTGTTTTTAAGGCCCATCTCCTCTGTGTCGCTACTCACTAAAACGATTCCTATTAGTTGAGATGCCTTAAATCTCCCAAATAACTATGTTTCTAATCGATCTGAGGGATATTCAAAACATTTGCATTATTCAAATCAGACTCTTAATTTCTGAAGAACTCCCTCCAAAGTAAACATTATAGGTTTGACTTGTTTGTGGCTTCAGCCGGGTGAGGGGACAAAACAAACGCGGACTAGAACTACGAAAGACAGTTGATTAAACCTGATCGCATGCTGTGTTTCGGTGAAGTGTCTCTGGAGACGCATATATTGAAGGAAAAAATACGATGACTATTCTCCAGATATAGTTGAACAGTTCTAGTTCCAACAGTTCTAGTTTGAACAGTTCTAGTTCCAACCGATATAGAACTGTTGGGATATCTCAAAGCATTTTAATGTAGGTTTAGTTTACTCGCTGCATTTAATGTTTTCGTGCGTCTATTGCTATCCTTGCAGAAAGAGAGCATAAATCTATAGCGCACTAACTGACCACCGAGAGACAGAGAAAGGGGTGCGTTAATGAGGTGTGAAGACTGATGTGAAAGGCAGCCTGCTTCTGCCACACGTTCAGCCTTTGCGTGGGAGACCCACATGATATTAGACTCTACAGTGGCTTTCCAAGACACCATGAACTTCTTGTCCACGAATGAAATATAAAAACAAAATATATAGTCGTATACAAAATATATAAATGTAGTATTCCGCGATAGCAGCAATGACAGCATATAGAAAAAATGTAATGCTATATGTTAAAAGAATTTGTATGGAATCACGTAGGAATAGAGTAATTAAAAAAGGATATATAGCCTACCTTTATTATTTTATGCTGTTGTTTTAGAATGGGAGATTTAATGGAATATTTGCATAGGATACCTAATTAGACCCAAATTAGAAACGCTATTAACCAATTTGAATAATTTTTACATTATTCGTTTATTTATCATTTCTATATAATAGGCTACTATAATACGATTTCATGTTAGGAAGCCGATGTATAATTATGCAAATGCATAATTTCTGCCATCGGTTCTTGTTTGTAATTTCTTTGTTTGTTATTAGTTATTAGACATTATAATATGGTGAATTTGTTCTGCATCGTAGCTATTGCTTAATTATCGCCGGTTATGCTGGAATGGAGCTGATGAAGACGGGTGTCTCGGATGAGAGTACACAGCCATGCAGTTTACTTTGAGCTTGGGCTGCACAGACCGGTCAGAATAATAATATTTATTTCTATGACGTTCTGTGTCTTTCTTTTAAAGATTTAAATGGATCGTTTACCCCAAAAAAGAAAATTGTCATCATGTACTCACCTTCATGTCGTTCCAAACTTGACTTTTTTTCTTCTGCGGAACACAAAAGAAGATATTTTAAAGAATGTTGGTAACCAAACAGTTTTGGTACCATTGACATTTATGTTTATGGACAAACAAAACACTGAGACATTCCTCAAAATATCTTCTTTTGTTCCCCACATAAGAAATAAAGTCATGCAGGTTTGGAATGACATGACGATGAGTAAATGATGACAGAATTTCATTTTTGGGTGAACCATCTCTATAGGATTATACAAATGTGACAGCTCGTCAGTTTAAGTCAAAAGATTTCAACACTCTACGTGACGCATCTGACCAGCACGCATCATTAATAAATACAATAATCTACTTTTTTTTTCTAGGCTATATGGTTCTATGTCTGCGTTGAATGTTTTATAGATTAAACGATCTGGAATATCTTTCATACAAATGAAGGGTTATATTTCTCTATGACACACCCCAACCATCATTTGTGTTAATTTCAGATCACAGCTCGAACTTTTTTTTCATTCGGAAAAGTGCGCGAGAATCACAAGTGCAGCTCACAGCTCAAAAATGGTCATATTCGTCGCAAAAGCATTGCATCATCCTATCATACTTGGAAAAACAAAACATCTGCATGTATAAAATTATTATTCTTATTAAATATTATTATACATGTATTATAAAAATGTCGCTTGTGTGGTCAACAGAAAAAACAGCGCTTTAAAGTTATTATTAATAATAATCATTATTATAATTATTATTATTATTTAACAAAACATTTGAGTTTGATACGCTTCATCTTAAAGACTGTCCGGTCCGAGAGGTGGAAGTCAGAAGTTTATTTTGACTCATTACACACATCTCAGCTGCCATGAGCTCATTAGAAAGCATCTGACCCTCTGATAGTAATGACTTTGTACGTTAATCTCGTTTTAAGAAGCACGCTCAAAGAATTTCAGGACCAGAAATTAAGAGAACACTGAATGTGGCAATGATTTCAATAATCTCCTCTACTCTGTGTTCTTTAGCGTAAAGCCAATGCCATCATTCTATATGTTTCCAACTGTGGGGGGCCATGATGAGAAGATATTCCTAAAACGTGACGGATGAACGCAAAAGAAAATATGTGATTCTGCGACGAGCATGCAGAGGAGTATTTACATTAACTAATAAAATAATCGAAAAGATCCATTGCTTGGGGCTTACTTGAGGGGCTACGACAGTGTTTTGATACGGTCTTGGACATGTATCTTCTGGCATGGGCTTCTTGTTCATAAACACGGAACGGAAAGTGCATGGTTCGAGTCAGTGTCATCCACTTTTTAGGCATTAGACCAATGTAATTGTTTCGTGTATCATACCAGTGGAGACTCCAAGTGTTTACCCACCTTTGAAGAAACATTCGCTGCGGTCACTAACATATCTTTATTTATACACTCGTCTCGGTTGTTTCTGCCTTGAACATTAGTTCGGGTTTGTGCTGAAAATAGCTTTCAAAGACAGCCCAGACATATTATATAGCCTACTATCTCACCGAGGGAAAATGGTCATGGTTTTGCATGGTCATCTGACAAGCAATTGTCATAGAGTCATTATAATTGCTTGGCCTTCTGACGTTTGTAACTGGATGTAGATAGATTATCTATTAAACTTTCAAGAGACAGAAGAGTTTGTTCGGTTGATTCTAAATGGCGAGTGAAGTGAACCGTCGAGTAGAAATTCCGCTAAGTCCAAAATGTCTTAATAGTTTATATATAGTTAAGGAAGAGTATTGTATAAAGAAGATTTTTCTTGACTATTTCAAGATGATGGTGATACATTTATGTTTAATTGGCGCAAACGAACTATAATTTTAGGAGGAAATGCAGCCAACAATATGCTTTTATTCAACTTTATACAATATACAAAACTGCATTTGACTTGACATTGGGCTTGTAATTTAAACATGTTTTCTTACGGAAATTCTCTAGAAAAATCTAGATAATTGATTGGCTTGATGTTTCTTTAGGTTTTGAATGGTTCAAAGTTTTTTTTTTTAATTTAATTAAGGTAGCCTACATATTTTTGCTTATGATCTGGTTATGCAATAAGCTAATTAATCTATTCCCCGAAAAGACAAAAGTCTGATGTTAGAGAGGTAATTATTGCGTATCTTTACAAAAAGTTCCTGTTTATCATTAGGCTATTACAGCATCAGTCTAACTCGTGTCATTCATAACTCATCATCGTAATAATTCTATGGTAAGATTAGGCTATGTGAATGTGTCATTTTAATTTGGGTGTCAGTCAATTGTCATTGCCTAAATCAAAACAATAGGCTTCGGGGTAGGGGCGGACTTACCCATTAGTCAAAGGTCGGCGACCGTCTTGGGCCCCCAAAAGCCAAGGGCCCCCTAAAATGCTTTTCATATACGAGATGCACATTAAGCGCGGACACGCGAATGGTTGCTGTTTACAGTGTTTATTACCACGACAACAGTCGTGCTTCTTGTGTACACTGTAAAAAAAATTCTGCAAAATTTACGGTAAAAAACCGGCAGCTGTGGTTGCCGGAATTTTACTGTAAAAAGTACGGTAGCAACGTTTTAGGTTTTACAGTTTTAACTTAAATTTACAGTTAAATACCGTAATTGCATTAACTGATATAATGTTAATATACCAACCTTATTGAAGTACTGAAATCTGTTTTGTACCTTTGTAATACACTGATAACCACCAAATGCAGGTGGTGATGAGAAAGTCACATGATGAACCAAAGCCCATCACAAGCAGCTTATAAATAATAACATATATAGAAGGTGCACAGTGACAAAAAAACATCAAATTTGTAATGTAACGCAGGGAATTCTGGGAATGTCATTGTTATTCACTGTAAATTATACAGTCTTTTTCACTTCCAAAAACGGTATACTACCGTAAAATTGATGTCCAATACATGTAATGTCCAATACAGTTTTTCACCGTATATAGTAGGGGAATTTACCGTTAACCATTTAACAGGTTTTTACTGTAGCATTTTTACAGTCTTTTACCGTTAAATTCACGGTCATTTTTTACCTGCTTGTAGCAAATGAAAATATCATGCATCTGAAGTTGTAATTAAATGTATTCTAAATGTTTCAATGTATTTTAATGTTTAGAATTAGCCTTTTGGAGAGTTTAGGCAATGGGTTGAGCCCAGGCACACGCTGGTAACTCATCAGGGCACTTTTCTCGTCAATATATTTTTTCACACTTTTCTCATTCTCACTAATTCAAGTTTTTATATGAATGAATCTCTGAAGGGAACTGACTGCCTTCAGAAAACTTTTGATGGCATTTTCATTTTATCTTATAAAGTCGCTTTTATGAGCGGAGCTAAAGCCGTTACCGGGGAAACCGCTATATTTCTGACGTTCCAAAAGCGCCTCCTGCTGGCAGAGAATGAATGTTCATTTTCAATAATCCAGTCTGCAGTTTTTGTTC